CTGTCATCAATGCCAGTAATTTTTAACACCTTGGAAGAAATTGACAAGCAAATCCCACCTGAATTCTTATCTAACCATACCTCCTGTACATATCCAAATGCAAGAACTTAAGATTATATTAAGGAATGTGTGGTAAAAGGAAACAATTAAAAATTTGAGAGAGAATAAGATTTAATTAGGAGGAATGTTTTTAACTCCATTTGGTATTGGTTAAATCTTTAAACGTAAAAGGTTTTCTTATTTATTAACAAGGATTTGAATTTGTATAACTCTTTCTCCCACTCCTTTTCCCCACATATTTAGTTGATTGATCTATCTTATAAAAAAGCATAAGAATTAATTAGAAAACGTGTCCATACCTTGGTGGCATCATCAATGGAGTTGGGCTTGGACAACCTGGAATAAATTTCCTTCTTGCTCAACGTCGAAAGAGCTGTGTCTCCAAGAGCTTTTTCTGCAATGAACCTATAATTGGAAGGCAATTTTGATTCCCATATGAAATCAGCTCGAGAAGCACGGTGGAAAGCCTGATTCAACCGAGCCAAATTGCAAATCTCCGTCGGGTCTAACCGCATCAACACCAATGCCACACAGCTCTCCGGTATATCATCAAATCTAGGCCTCCTCAACAAAGAACCATCTCCGTCACAATCCGATCTACCACCAGACACGTTTGCACCCATTAAACAAATTAAACCCCTCTAAACCCAAAACCCAATACTTTATTTTCAATATATATCGACGAAAAAAAAAAAAAGGAAATTGGAGGAGATAGGATACAAGAGAAGAAGAATATATATGGATTATATATAAATATATTTATGATCTGTAACCCGCCAGATGGTAAGAAGAAAAAAAAAAATTTTTTTCCCAAAAGGAAGTATATGTTCTGGATGTTATGTTTGAGGCTGTATATATTCGATATTTTCAGGGAAATGTTTGAAGAAGATGATGGATGGGGAGGTTTGGTTGAAGAAATGCTTGAGTCTCGATTTTCAGGTTTGATAACGGCTTTGAGCTGTACGACACTATACTTATCCACTAACAGCGTTGAGTCATTGACAACTAAACAATAATATCTTGAACGCAAAATTTAGTCCTTCAACTTTTAATATTGAATAATTTTAGTATATAAATTATTTTTAATATATATTTCTAAAACTTAATTATAAAAAAAATATCTTTTTGTTATCTTTTTTCTTGTTTTTCAGTTAAATTTGTTTAGCTAGCTTTTTTTTTTTAATTTCTCTTAACAACTGAATATGCATAAAACAAAATTTTTAAGGTTAAAAATGTATAATAAATAATAATTTAGGGATAAAAATGGATATAAAATAAATGTTATGGACCAAAAAAATGCAGCTAAACAAATTTAAAGAACAAAATATTGGAAATGACAAAAAAAAATTGAATTTTTCATAATTAATAAACAAAAAAATATAAAATATAATTTGAAGACTAAAAGTATTTAAAAGTAGAAGTTCAAGAACTTAAATTTTCACTTAACCATTTGACCATAAAAAAAAAAAGAATTTTTCATAATTAATAAACCACAAAAATATAAAATATAATTTGAAGACTAAAAGTATTTAAAAGTAGAAGTTCAAGAACTTGAATTTTCACTTAACCATTTGACCATTCTAATACTAGGGGAGAGGGAAGAGTCGACAATCTGTTAGCACGCGCTTCACCCAAGCGCGTCTGCCCGCGGTTTTTAGATTGTAGGAGTAGATACGTGTATAATTGTAATCATATAAATCCTCTATAGTTGTAATCATATGGATATATGCAAATTATATTTTACATTTTTAGTACAAATTTGAAATTTCATTATAAATTTATAATTCACCAACTATGCATTATATATGTATGATACTTCCTTTCTCTT